TAGATAACCACTGGGCTCTCTGTCTTGCTAGTCCTCTTAACACTATACCTGTACTCCTGTTACTCCAATTATATTGAATTGGAGAGGTAGTCACAGAAAGTTCAAATCTGCACAGACTCCTAGAATGGAAACTGCAGCAAGCTGGACTCAGTGAGTCAAACTTGACTAGAGCAGTGGCAAAATCTCTGAGGGCATTCTGAAGTGGCTGATACTCTGGAACCTTGTTAGAGGCTATCTTGAGTATAGCACAAGACTTGCTGAATGTCAGCCTGCCAGCCACGAGATCTTTCTCAAAGACAGAGTGATAGGCTGGATTCAGTCTGAAGCCATAGCGGCTATGCAGAATTGGAGTTACTCTATTGTCATATTGGAACTGAATCTCCTCCTCCTCAGGGCTCTGAATGTAAACCGCCACCAGGCCCTGGAGAATCTGGACAGTCTCTGCATTAAGCTAGCTGGGCAGAGGAGAGCAAGGCCTATTCTGAACATCTGATGAGCCTTGACAGTGGTGCTGCTGAGCCTGTCTGTATTCCTTGTGCTTCTCCAGGCTATTCCTATGCTTTTTCTGCTAGGCCTCATAGTTGTCACTGGAGTATTCACTATGCCAGCTATTTTTCTTCTCAAACTCGAGATAGCTCTGATAAATATCATGGGCAGGCACGTTGGGGTCGAGGTTGTAGCAAATGTCGTACTCATTTTGAATACTGTTGTATACCCGCATGGTGAGCATTGTGACAGTTCACAAGCTTTCCAGCTTGTCACGCTCGTAGTTCCTGACAGGTGCATGGATCCACCTACCAAAAGAGATCTCCTCTCATTCAAAGACATGTGGACTTCTTCTTCCAGGAATTGGCTGATCAATTTGTGCTTGCTCACGCTGGCAGTGTTGCCCACATTGATTGGGTGTCTTGCACGCAATCAGCTTTGTCTTACACCCTTTCGGTAGCGACAACCGGTCCCGAGGTGACAGAAACAGTTAAGACTTCTAAGAGCTCTTTAGAGCTTGTCAATTCAGCTGGTGATATAGCTACTCCTACTCCTGATGCTCCAATTCCTACTATTTGCAACTACTGGTAAAGCTACACCATTAAGAGCAATACTTCAGTGCTGCGAGGCCAATGTTTGACCCAGGCAGGTACAATATAAGACCTGGGGCTGGTTTTGTAGCAGACCCAAAATGGCACACAGCTGGTATTGAGAATTATGAGGACATTTTGTTGCCATTGCTGTCTTCCAGGCCTTGGTTCCATGAGCAAGTAGGTATCTACGTAGGCTTCCACCTGTGGAACAGACCAATTGCATATTCAAGATCTCTTGATAGCTCCGAGAAAGGGGAGAAAGACACTCATACAGTCTTGAATCAGGTGGAAGAAATTGCGACCCTCGTGCCATGAATGCGTGACCATGTACAATAGCAGTGCAAACTGCATGGCAAAGAATAGCCATGCCAGATTGACAACCTGACATATCTTGCTCTTATTATGCGATGCATTGCAGTAACTATAGCAAGAGGGCTGTATGTCTTCACAATGGTTGTAATACAGTGGGAAAAAAATCAACAGCAGTGAGATGTGAGATATCTCTGATGAAAAGTTTGAGGGCTTCTTCAATTGCACACCAGTTTCTAGCTATAATTGAATCAAGAAAGTATATTGTCTGGCTGCTGCACAAATTGTGCTTCACTGGTAAAAATGTATATGTGTAATCTAAAGTGAAGAGAATACTGCCACTATATGTCGGGCAGCATAGAACAAGCATGAGATGGAAAGTTTAATTGTTTGAAATATAAGGTACAGTCAGAGACAGGGGAGATATGATGGGCTCGCTGTATTATAAAGGTATGAAAGGAGAGGTGCTCTTGCCACCAAGGAAAATCCAGACCTCGGGCTTCTTGTTGCTACTTAGTGTCATATATATCTGACAACAAATCTGTATTGCAAACTAGGTAGCACTTCAGTATTGAAATTAGAAGCTGTCATGACAATGTGCATTTCAGTCATGGTGAGATTTATTGCCTGGCATTCAAAGATAGCAAGCGTGGTGATGCTTGTCTGGTTTGTTCAAATGGCACTTATAACTATGCAGTTGTTTGAGCTTGATATGCCTTCTACCAATGACTAAGTCAGGAGGCCTAAACAATAGTGAATAACACACCTTGGAAAATGGTGTCTATGCCGCAAAAAGCCCAGAGAGACCTGCTGACAGGCGATGTTCTGCATTATACTATATACCAAGCAATTGCATTCCAAAGATTCAAACAGCATGCAGATGGTAAACATGAATATGTCCACACAGGGTAGAAGTAGAGATTTGAAGCTAGCTGTGTGACTATGGCAGGACATGATGGTATTGAGCATGCAAGGAGAGATACACACAAGTGGGCCATTATAAGCAACTGTACAAAATGCAAGGATAGTAGTAGAGACTCACCGATTTGTATATGACAACAAGCATTGTAGGAGTGAGCTGCTTTTGCCTTTCCTCAGAAACTTGTGTAAGGTTGTCGTAGGGGGTGTCCTCTCACTCGCACCATGAATCTGAACCAACTTTATTCAAGTCCTAAATATATGGTTTATATGTGTGAGAGTTAGGAAAATTTTACCTAGGCCGATGCCTCGAGCTTTATGAGCTCAAGAGCCCAAAACGCTTATCTAATAAATTGAGCACTTAAACAGCATGCTGGCACATGATCGGGACACCGTTGGAACTGCACCTCCTCGGTGATCTGAAGTGGGCCTGCCCGAGCACCATCTTTACACCCGCCCTCTCAAGCTGAAGTGCAGCGAAGGCGATACAATACGTAGAGACTAGAGCATAGAGTAGTAGTAGGAATTTGAAGGAAAATAAAACTATACAATTGCCCATGATACCCTTAAACATTCATGGGGATTTTGTGCTGTGAGACGACATTGCAAACCACCATGCGCTAGGCGAGTAGGCTGTCCTGGAGCTCGGATTACCTCTTGGTGATAATTTCAACCTTGTACATGTGTTCGGCTGCTGGGCAGACTACGAGTGTGAAGAAGTCAAGTACGGCCCGATTGGTCACTTTGTTGCAATAGTCAAAGCGAACACTGTGGTCGATGATGCCGATGTTTAAAAGTATGCCTTGGTAGTGGTGCATGCGGCATACGCAACCGAGCCAGTGCAGGGCATGAATGCCTTGGTGCAGCTCTGGGCCTCATTCAGATGCAACGAGCATACCAAGTAATTGGTGACGGCTGACGATTTTGTTTGTCTTCTTGTCCCGCTCGACCCAGAAAATGAAGCAGTTGGGGTTATTATTAAGATACTCTTCCCAGTAGTCGATGAACGCAATCTTGAAGCACGGAGGGTCATTTGCAGTGACCTTCAATATGCCAGGCATGGGTGCTGCAGCCATGGAGTCAATCTTTATAGCATTCGCGTGTTCTGCACCTAGCTGGTTATCAGAGGACTTGCTAAGGGAAACAGCCCCTTCAGGTGTAGAGTCTCTGGCGTTGTCTTTTGCTTTGCCCTTGCTTTTTGGGTTATACATGGTCAGGTGTTTAGACCTGAATCTTTTGAAGGAGATCCACTTGGGCTTTCTCCAGATGATGCTTTGGATCATGACCTTCAAGTCTTTGGTCATGATGTGGTAGAGATTGTCACAGATGGGGTCTTTGCCTTTGGGCAGTGACGCGTTAATGAGTAAGAGACCAATGAGGGAGTATGCTGCGTAGTTCGAGGGAGTCAGCACAAGAGACATGAGCTGGTAGAGCTCATCCCAGCTCTCTGGAAACTTAAGGTAGGCGTGTTCAGATGGCTCGCCGTCCCAGTCTAGCCTGCGGAACTTTATACTGTCCGCGGATTCATACTTAGAGTTTGGCAGTAAGAATGCACACTGTAGTGAGCCAACAGGGTCTGGGACTAACAGGGGTGGTTCAACCATGCTGATCCAGTCACCCCAAGTGTTGCAGTCTGATTTAAGGAAGGCTCTTGCCCCCTCACGAATGCGCTTAGGGTTCACGTTGAAGAACGAGACAATGCCCATCTGGAAAAGCTCACAATGTTAATTACTACTAAATAGTACTAATTAACACTAATTCGTATGGTAACATTGATTAACTGACCCCCTCTATTATGCTTATGTTTCTAATAGTAAATTAACACTAATGTAGTAATTTATTCATGAACTGTTTATGAGCTGTTCATTAGCTATTCATTTGATATTCGTTAACTGTTATGTGGTGTTAATGAGCTATTATTTTTTGTTAATTGACTGTTATTCACTGTTAATTGAATGTTAATTGGCTGTTATTTCAGTATTCTTAGCTTCAAAAATCAATGTACTAAACTCAAATTTAATTCTATACACATTTCTTATGCTATACATCATATTGATAGCTCTATACAAGCATAATATCCAAAAAAAAGAAAAAAACAAAAGAATGGCCCTAATGAAAATTGAACCCCAGTCTCATTATTTTCAAGTGACCTATTAGAACATGCACAATTTAATTATTGAGCCATAAGACTCATATAAACTTTACACTTCAATGTTCCTATATACACTCAGCTAACAACTTACAAATAATTTCTAAGTGCAATCTAGAAGTTTAACACATATTCACACTTCTAGGTCTAAATATAACTGTTGCCTTTGTATATAATGCTAGATGTACAATATTTGATACAACTGTCATTTGCTAATATAACAACCTTTAATATATACAGTAGCTTTTTGCAATAGATTATCAACCATTGTTTTAGCTATTGAATGCGCTGGATAAAATAACATGTTGTTAGTATGCATATAGTAATAAATAAAGTGCAGAATAAATATGACATTTTATAACATAAGTACAGTCGTATATAGCTTATTAGCTAGTACCTAGCAAAAAGAAACTATTTGCTGTTCTTGCAATAGAACACGAATGCTAGTCTATGTATCTAAAATATGTTAGTGATGTTAAAAGCTGTATATATTACCTTTTGCTCTAAAACTAGCATTTTATTCTACTACTTGTATTTGTAAAATGTATTACTGCAATCTTTGACAATTAGCAGTTTGAAATATAAGATATAAACTTTAAACAGCATTAAAATGTCATTTCAGCGCCTAAATACACCTAACATCATTAAATACACCTAACATCATTAAATATAAATACGTCATTTAAAAGAGAATTTTAAAAGAGCTTCATTATTAAATATAGTTTAATAAAATGTTACAAATTATACTTACTTTTATGACTTACTTTAAATACTAATGACATTTAGCTAATATTACTAGTAATTACATTTTTTGAACTACAAATATAATAATTGGATTTGAAGCTAAAATGTATAACTATAAGAGTAAATAATAAAAATCAGCACAAGTTAAAACTAAACTTATTAACAGTAGTCAAAGTATTAAAAAAGTATTAAAAATATTTAAAGCTATAAATAACTTTATACATACTACAAAATATATAATGACTATTTAAACTAATGAATAGCACTACAAAGAAAGATCAAAGTTTTGCTACATTTTTTAAAAAAATTACTATGGCAAACTAAATAGTATATATATATAACTCTCACACTAGAATACCAGCAGCATCTTTGGAAGGTATTATATTGATATAAATACTGAGTGCACAAAATATATAGCAAAAATGGCTAGAAAATAGGCATATATTATAAAAACTATAAAATACTATAGTTCACAAGATCAAATATAACTGTGCCTTAGCAAAATTTTATACTATGTGACACTGCTATAACATATTAAAGATATGACACATTATTGAAATAGCTTAGCTATAGAAATATTATATTTGTTAAACAATAAAAACATCCATATACACTTATTTCTAAAAAGCACTGATAATAGCTGAAGCATGTATAATATAATATTAGATGTATCTTTCAATAGAGAATATTTTGTACATTCAACATATAAACTTTAAACTAATATTTACAGAGCAAATTAGTACTAATAGTATACTAATAACAAATGGTAAACTAATATGTGTAAATAATATGTAGCTAACAAATATAATATGCAAAAGACTTATAATTAATATTAAAAGAACACATTAATATTAAATTATATTAATGACAAACAATGATCTATTGAGCATATAGATTGTGTAGCTATCATGAATAGCATACAAAGAACTTGCAGCTACTATATTGAGAACAGATTAACATTTATAGTATAATATTAACAAATAGCAGATTGATCAGCAGAATAAGTATATAGCTAACAGGAAAAGTATACAATGAGCGTATAAATAGCATTTTAAGAACAGATTAGCATTTATGATGTAACAATAACAAATAGTGAACTGTTTAATAGATTGAACATATCTTTGACAGAAATAACATACAAAGAACTTATGTTTAGTATTGAGAGAACAGATTAGCAAATATAATGTAATTATAACAAACAATGAACTGCTTAGTAGATATAATGTACCTTTAACACAAATAGTACACAAAAAACTTGTGATTAACACTCAGAGAACAGATTAGCAAATATAATGTAACTTTACCAAATGGATAACTGCTTAGCAGATATAGTGTACAGCTAACAAAAATTGAATAACAAGAACTTCAGATTAGTATTCAGAGAATGAAATAACAATTTTAACATTTCTATAATAAACAGTGAACTAATTAACATATTTAACAAAGTAAAAGTTTTGCACTAATGAAGAGAGAACAAATTAGCTGATATAAGATGCAGTTACTATATCTAACATATAGAGAGTGTTAGCTGAACTCATTTAACTAATTACCTTTCATCTAATAAAGCAAAAATGAAATAATATCTTATGAATGTTGAAAGAACACCCATTACTGCTAATTACTGTTAAATTAACAAACTGGATTTTTCCAGATGCCATATGGCCACTTCTTGCAGTCCTGCGCTATATCTTTGGTCGTAGCTTGTGCTCCGCGCTTAGCAGGTGAGGGGCCAACAATTGGCCCGTCTGTCAGGGCACTGAGCAATCCATTGATCCAGATGAACCAATCTGTGGGGAATTCGCCAGCACATGGCCAATGTTCATTGGGCACCTCCTCCGAATGTGCTTTGTATCACTTCAGCAGTTTGCTCACCTTGTGCGAGGCACGGCGGCATTCACGCTTCTTGTCCGTGCGCTTGCTTTCACTGCGTTGCTTGTCTGCTAGCAAAATGTTGGCTTTTTTTTTCTTGCACTTGCTCCTGTGGTAATTATGTTTGCAAATCTGATTCGTGTCAGCATCCAATGGCAGCTCTAATTCCAGCTTGGATTAGTTGTTGAACTCTTTGTCGTCAAAGTCATCGTATGGTGTTCTCAAAGGCTGCATATTCTCGAGAGGTTGCGTGCCGCTGCCAGACACTTCAGAAGCACCGTGTATGTGGTTCACCAACGGTGTACTTCCTATGCCAATAGCTGGCGATGGGGTCGAATCGCATCAGACAGCCAAGCTTCTAGCCCTGCTTCAGTCATTGCAATGTCGTGGTCCTGGTCAGTATAGCCAAGGTCCTGAGAACCTCTGCCTGCAGAGCCCGGTCAAATGTCTTCCAGTCTGTCCGTGAGACTGCAATTGCCAATGCAGGTGAGTAAGTCGCCGATGACATGCCTTTGGTGGCCGTTGTCTGTAGATGTCAATATGGCGGGGCGCCTTGGTGAGAGGAATTGATACCGTGGTCAACATTCAGTAGAGCGTCAATGGTCCAGGCATCACTCTAGGTTATGTATCACATGTTGCAGTTATACATTCTTCTCTAGGAGCCTGCGCAACAGGTCGGCCTACATGTTCTGAACTACGTCCAGATAGTCAGAGTGCTGCGTTTCTAGAGAACTGTGGCTCACAAAAATGGCGCAGTTGCTGCACCGCCCCCAATATTGCACACATTTGATACTAAAGTTGTACACCTATTTGCGCTGGCCAGGCAGCAATTCTGGATGGCGCTCATGCAACATGGAGCGTGGTGGTCATAGTCGCGAGTACAACTGTGAAGAGGAGTATTGAGGCTGCAGCCTAGAATGGCCGTAGCACTCTTGTTCCTTTCGAGGGGATCTGCCCCGTTCAGAGCTGTGCAGCCGTTGGTCTCTTAGAGGTCAAGTTGCAGACTGTGTGTCCACAAGCCAACTTTGTCTATGTAATCTAAAAACTACTCTATCTAGATGATGGGACTCTGGCAATGAGAGTGCATCAAGAAGTCTTATATGTGTTTGCACTTGGCACCGGCGCGTGGTAGCGCTCACCAGTGCTTTACCCCGATTTGGTCAAGGTAGTAGTCGAGGGCCACCAGGTTCTTGCAGTGGTCATAGTTCCCAAGTTGTATCTCCATAATTCCATTTTACTTTGAATTCTATCTTCTTCCCAACACATTTGTGTGCTTTTATTTTGTCCACTAACCATTCCATATCTTCTGAAGTATCAATGTTGTAATAAACTTGTGTTTCTCTGTGAGGAAATAGGATCTTGTCACTTTGTTTGTGTCTTCTGAGTAGGCTAACATGGAATCTTGGATGTAATCCACAGGTTTTGAGGTCTTCTGGTAAGTCTAATGTGTATGAAGATGTTAAAGAATTGCCGTCCACTATACTGAATGGTCCAATATAGCATGGTGTGAGCTTCCTCGTTCGTCCCTTCAGGAGATTAATATTCTCCATGGACAGATAGACTTTGTTGCCTGGTTAAAGCGGGCTCTGCTCACTGCAATGCTTGTCTTCGTCATGTCTTCTCCAGTTTGCATGGTAGGTTTGATGTACCTGGCTATCGATTATCACGTCATGTGCCGCGAGCAAATTGAGTACGGTGCATTCAGCGAAGGCCTTTACATCTGGCACTAGATTATTGGTAGAAACTACCTTAATCATGCGTGGCATTGTACTCTGGACTAGCTCAAAAGAGGCGTAGCCAGTAAATGAGTTGATGGATGAATTGAGGGTAAATTCGACCATCAGCAGTTTGGAGACCCAGTTCTTTTGGCCTGGGCTGATAAACGCTCTCAATATTTGTTCAATAGAGCGATTGGCCCTCTCCATGGCTTTATCGGTTTGCAGGTGAAACGCTGTTGACATAAGTTGTTTGATACCCAGCAGACGCATTACCTCTCTCCACAATCTAGACGTGAATCTAGTATTGCAGTCAGAGACAGCGTCGTCCAGCAGACCGTGCAGGCAGACAATCTCCTTGATGAAGACCCAGGCGAGATCAGAGGATCTCGTCGTCGTAGTGAGAGGGATTAGGTGTACATTACTTGTCATCTGATAAAGGACAACCTAGAAGAAGTCAAATTCCTCGTCCTCTAGAAGAGGCCCTAGGAAATCCATAGCAATGAATCCCCAAGATTGCCTAGGGATGGGCAGACTGTGAAGTAGACCAGCAGGCATTTGGGTGGAGGGCTTGGTTGTTTGGCAAACACCACATGATGTGCAGAACTTCTCCATGTCTTGACTGAGAGTAGGCCACCAGTACCAGTGCCAAATATAGTCATTGGTTTTTCGGATACCAAAATGGCCGAGGACCATATGGGCATGGTCAATTATTAGTTTGACTAGCGCGTTCTTTTTGAATTTGACCTGGGAATACAAAGCACACAGTGCTGCAGCCTGTTTCTCATGAAAATTAGGCCACTTTGTACCTTGAAGATCTTGAAGTGAGCAGGATTAGCCAGGATCTTTGAGAACGTTGCATCCTCAAGATAGCCCAACCTTACACACTCCATGAACTCGACATCAGTGTCAAAATCTCTGGTCAGCGGTTGCAAACTCTCATCCTCGAAGATGGGAGGATTTAGTTCTGTCAGAGGCAGATCACTTAAGGCAGCTTTGGCCACCCGAAGCTCTTTGCGAGTAATCAGACCGCGGGCTGGCAAAGGTCTATCTTCCTCTGTTGGTCCCATGTGCACTGATTGTACTTCCTTGAGTCGATGGAAGGGTAGGTTCACCTTCAGGATCTATCCTGTAATCTGCACTGACATACTTGTCATAGGGATGCATCTTTCCTTCTTTGTTGCTTTCGTAGTAACTGGATAAACAGTCTGCCACCTTGTTGGTGATTTCTTTAATGTACTTGATCTAATAGTCAAACCGAGTGAGGAATTCCATCTAATGGGTCTGGCGATTAGACAGGTGAGCTTGAGTCTTGAAAAATTTGAGAGCCTTGTGGTCGGTTATAATACAAATGCTTTGTCCCAGCAGCTTATCTTCCCACTTGTACAATGCTTCTAATATGACGATCATTTTGAGCTCAAAGATTTGGTAGGCGTGTTGTGCATTAGTCAACTTGCGGAACATGAAGCCGGCAGGACGACAGTGTTGCCAGTCTGGCCCCTGTCCGTACATGGTGCCTACTCCCGATATTGATGCATTGCAAATTACCCAGATGGGTTCATCGTGTCGCGGGTCTATTGGTTTCAATATAGAAGCCTTGCACACTAGGTATTTTATCAATTCAAAGCACTTTTGATGAATAGGTTGCCACTCGAACGATAGGCCGTTCCTAGTCATCTCTGCCAATGGCTCCGTATAAGCAGATACATCGGGCATGAAATGCGCTAGGTACTGTATAAGTCTAAGGAACTTCTGCACGTTGTTGTAGTTTTAAGGTGAAATAGAGGGGAAACCTCTGGGACTCCATTAGTAATATCCTTGTAATGCTCGAACCATTCTTTCTTAAGTCTGAATGTGTCATCCTTCGAGTATCCCAAGGGCTTGAACTCCTCAGGCTTCACCAAAGCATCTCTCAGGTGGAAGGGTGGTTGTTCCTTAGCTTTGGATATAAAAGGTTCTGTAATTTCTTTTTCTGTGATTTTTCGGTCGAGTTTGTTTTTCAGTTCTTCTATCCACACTTGAGGGTCTATTGAATGCACGTAATTAGCTCCATTGGACTGCTTATTCCTCTTAAGTGCAGAGTTATCCGAGCTCTGCACTTGGGCTGCGAGCTGTTAGCCCGCAGAAACTAGTCACTTCTGAAATGATTCGACCATGCGCATTGAGTGCATGGAGGCCAGATCATCGTTGTTACATTGGTTATAGGTGTTTGTATGCCTTATAACATTTCCCTCCCCCCGCAGCACAGGCAGCAAGGTGTTGCCGATGCATATGGTGTAATTCCCAAAATCGAGCACCATCTTTGTTTGATGCATAAAAGGTAGTCCAAGAACCACGTCGTATTTAGGTATATTCACGATATTCTAGTATATTCTGTGGTTATCTCCCGCAATAATTAATAAGGTTTCTGTGCTGAAGTTCACCTTCAAGCGGCTGCCTACACACTCTAATTGCAGGGAAATGGGGTTGCTGAGAGAGAACGGTGCTATTCCGGCAATGCAGGTGTATTCTGGACTCATCGCATTAATGGTGCTTTTCGTGTCTAGAAGAACCTTCACCTTCAGACCACAAATGGTGGCTCACATGGCCATTGAGAAGCCACGAGCCAGTGGTCTCTCTCTGGCCATGCCCTGTAGTCGTATCGCTGCACGGCTAGCAAGTTGAGATTCAACCATAAGCAAATGATCTCCAGAAGTGGACATTTCATCTACTACGGAGTTCTCTGCTTGGTCAACGTACTCTAGATTGTTGTTGTCAAGGCAGTTAACACAGTTCCCGTAGCCCGATATATTTGTGTTGACCACATCCTGATTGTCATCAAATGACACAGAGGTGTAAGTAATCACGGTTGCAGTGAATAAAGCATTCTTTGGCCGCAGTACGCGATGGGTGTAGTTTTGCTCTGCCAGGTCACGTTCCACAGTGTGCTCGAACACCTTATTGATTACAGGGCGTGTAACACCTTGGCTTGCAGCTTTTTGCAGCAAGTGAAAGTCATGTCGCAAATTTTGAAGCTGATCTTGCAGTAGTGCCATCTTGCCCTGGGCATGTCGAAGACTACCCTGAGTGCATTGCAGTCGAAGACCCGCATTTTGCATACGAGTTACAGGCTGTTCCTGGGCTGTTTGTGAGTTGTCAGGCATTGAAGACAAACCCTCCATTTAGTTGACCTTGCCATTGCCCGTCGTCATTTGTCTCATTAACTGATGGTGGATAGACTGTCCCCTAGAAGCACATTGCACTGGAGAGCGGTCTCTTGTAGAGGATCAGCCGGGTGATCTGATCAGATTATCAATATTGGTTGGCAGCCCCTTGTTACAGGGCAATTTGTGGTCCTCTCGTAATATGTGTGCTTCACTGCGTGCAGCCATGACTTCCTGTGTGAGGTTTGCAATGCGGCCATGGAAACAGTCACGCTCTAGCTGCTCTTCTTGCATGTGCGCTTGCACTTGTAGCAGGAAGTTGGTGCTGGTCAAGTTGTAATAGCAATGGTATACATTGTCTAAGAACAGTGGTCCCACCACTAAAGTCAATGTGTACGCTGCGTGCTCTTCCTCCGATTGTCATTGGTGGTCCACCACTGATGCGTTGTCTTCAGTTACTTTCATCGGTGAGCGGTCAGCGGTGGAGTCTGAGGTTTCTCCCTTGGTCTCGTTGTTGCTGCGGCCACCAATGAATAGGACCAACGCAGGTGGTCCAGTTCTATCGCTAGGTGGTAGTGAGATTAGTACCATTACATCCTGATCTCTTTCGCCCTCAGGAATTTTTTCGAAGGCAGGGAGTTCCTTGTCATCTTGCAAGTCATTGCTCGTGGCCATAGCCGCAGGCAGCCGGGCAAGTCAATCCACTTTGTGATTGGCGATGGCTTTCAGCTGTACCCATTCTGGCACCACCGTTGGAAGACACTCTAATTCTAGGTAAGGGGCAAATGGGTCACAGGTATCCATTGGTTCATACTGATCACTAGCAGTATGAGTAATAGCTGCGTTAGAATCAGAGATATCTATGGCACTGGCCCAAAACTCATCCTCGTCCTCCACCCAGTCATTGAGGATGTATGGCTGGAAGTATTCATCTTCAGACTCTTGTCCCCAGTTGTTATAAGAGTAGGTGTATTTGGTGCTGTCACTATTAGACTCTTACTGGGATCTATCAACTGAATAGTTGTCAGTCTCCCCGTGCTCATCTTGTGTTTTGCCACAAAACAACTGTCTGTCCTTGTTGATATGGAGGAGCTCTCCAGTATCCTGTGAATTTGACGGCCCAGCCTCGGGCTCTCAGTCATTCGTCAGTTCGTCATGGCCATCAGCCTGTACTTCGACAATTCTAATTGCCCCTTTACTATATTTGGAGCATTCTCGGTCAGTAGAGTAGTGCCCAAGGCAATTACACTTGAAGCATCGTACAGTGGACTTGTCAACCAGATTGCCTTTAGAATTATTCATCCTAGATTGCTGGTCTTGCCTTGATGACAATTGTTTGTTTTGCGGGGTAACCATCATGGAATGCATTGGACAGAAGTCATGCTGGTTGTCTAATTGATTTTGTGAAGCCTGCGGTTGCCGGTTTTGTTGTGAGTCTCTCCTGGAGTTAGATCCAGGTTGGTACGTTCTATCTGACTGTTCTTGGGTGTTTGTGTTTGGTATCAATGTGGACTGGTTATTGGCTGCTCTTGTGCTTTGTTGTGCAGGGTGGTTCGATGTGCTTGTGCATATAGCAATGCCGTTTGTCTTAAGGTTATTCTTGATCCAGCGGGCAATACCATACACATGCTCTAGTGTCAAGTTCTCTGCAGTGACGTTGTGGATCCTAAACAAATCTTTGCGAATTTGCAATGTCAATCGTCTGATGAACCTGCAGACAATCCCATAGTCTGACGGTTTGACATGCATGCAGTTGGCAGCACATGTCAGATTGTTAAACAATTGGTTACTCTTCCTGTAGGTGAGTAAGTGACACAGTCAAACTGCGTTGCAGTACCTCTTGCATCACTCTTGTGAATGAAGCACATATACATTGCTCGAGCAGCCTCTCTAAACATCCACAGCACTCTATGCACATAGTACAGCCTCCATACTTGCTCACAAAACCACTTTTTGGCCTGGCCGGTCGGGCAGTAGCTGAAGTACGTCAGGCAATGCCATTCATAGGCCTCGCCACACTTATTCTGCATATTCATGATGTCTACGAGTTGTGAGATGAATCGCTCAAATTCTTCTGCGTCATCATCACCCCCGTACGCAGTAGGTGGTTTGACTTGGGACATCTTAGGTGGGTTCACGCCTTGCGGCAGACTCTCACTTAGTTAATAATCAATAATTTCTTCTATTGTACGCATGCTACGTAGTACGCCGAGGTCTACATATGTGGGAGCAGTTCGTGCTACCACAAACAGGCTTGGCCCTTGTGCAGTAAGCAGGTAATACGCTCCAGCACACAAAGCACTGCTAGTTGCTAGTCCCTTTCGAGGACAGAGTCCTTCTGTACCTTCAGTAGAATCATTTGAACCTCCAGGTGATCTTTCAGAGCCTCCAGAGCCTTTAGGTGGTCATCCGGGACCTTCAAGTGGTTGTCTAGGGCCTCCAGAACCCCTAAATGCTTCTGTTGCGGTAGATGGTGGTTTTTGGGGCTATTATAACGCAGCATACCCTCAGGTGCCCACGTTCAGGTAGCCACCATGGAACATCATGAAGTGTGCTCTCGGGTGAAACGGAGGTCCTTGTGCACCTGTCGGTGCATTATTCATTGAGGAATGGGCCTGGTTAGTTTGCTGAGGACTTTGACTGTCACTGTTGTCCTCCTCGCTGCTGTCACGTTGAGAAGGCCCGGCAGCATTGGCGTATCTCTGATACATGTCATATTTCAAGAATCTTCCATATTGAGCCTCTGAAACATAGCCTGAATGGTCCTCATCCAGTTGTTCACTGAATGAGTCTATTCACTCACTCTGTGCCTCTTCAGGTTCAAGTGCCTCATTTCCGTGAAGCAATTTTGCTTCACGAAAACGGATATTTGGAGACTTGCTGTGATGAGAAAGTACGTCCTCCTGCACATGCGAGTCCTCTGGATGTTCACTGGATTGTCGATTCTTGGCAGGTTTGGGTATTTCCAGCCCATTGTCTTTTTGTTGTTTGAGCCAGCAGATATAAGTCCGCTTGCACTGTTGGTACGCCTCACGCGTCTCTGATGGGAGACGTGGGAGCTCCTCAAACTCTCGTTCAGAGTCTGGTGTGCTCTGCTCTTCCAGCAGGTTCTCCTTGCTGGAGGCTAGAGGCGGCGTATTGTTCAGTGTATGTTACACTCCACTGGGCCCTGCATTGCGCTCGTTGCTTGTTGCAGGCTTCTGTGAAGGGCCAAGTTGTTGAGCGGCGTGTTGCAGGTACTTTATCTGGTTTAACACCAGGTTTTGTATTCTCTGCTCACGCGTATCCTACTCTTTTTCCTCTTGTTCTTGTTTGGCCCCCTGTCGTCACCTTGCTGACAAGTCACTGTCATGGGCGGTTACGAGTTCTATGCCAATTTGCCCGAGTTCGGCGTACATCTTGTCGATTTCGCCCATTACTTGGGCTGCCAAGAGTATCTCATCTCTCACATTCTCTTCTTCTCTTGTCGAGTTGTTACTGACATCTTCTAGGGCTTCTAAGTAGAACAAAGCCCCTTTGCGTGCACCAAGGAACGCGTCAGCCTTGCCTTCCGATTGCTCAGTCAGCAGGCTCAGCCAGCTCTGGTCTGCGCATGACTCTGCTTGTTCTTCATGGGAGTAGTCGCAGTCGCTACTTGCGGTCCATTGAGGGCTCCTTCCACTCTCCTCTTCCTTTATCATGGTGTCTCCCACAGTTCTGGGTAGAGCAGAGCTGGGCGTTGAAGTCAACGTTCCAGTTTGGAAAGACTGTGATGCGCTGGAATCTAGAATTGCCGGGCAGTCCGTTGTTTGATGAGCGGGCTGATGGCAGTTGTCAGTGCTTCTCCCAGGTCCAGGGTCTCAGTGATTGCTTCCAGGCGCTGTTGGTGTGCCGGTATTCGAGCTTTGTGGCATTGATGCAGCACCAGAAAAGTTTGTGTTGGCTTGCAAGCCTTCTGAAGCTGCCCGACGAGGGTTTCTTTAGGGTCTTCTGCCTATAGTGGATCTTCGGTAGGGTAGGTTATAATTTTACAGAGTGACCACGGTATTCTCCCACAATCCTGTAGTGTAGGAGTTGAATAAGTCTTTAGGGCATTCAAAAAAGTGTAAGGTTGTTGTGGGAAGTGTTCTTTCACTCGCACTGTGAATCTGAACTGACTTTATTCAAGTCCTAGATATACAGTGTACACGTGAGAGAGTTAGGAACATTCTACCTAGGCCAATGCCTTGAGCTTTATGAGCTCGAGAGCCTGAAACACTTATCTAATAAATTGAGCGCTTAGACAGTGCGCTGGCGCATGATTGGGACACCATCGGGACTGCACCTCCTCAGTGATCCGAGGTGGGCCTGCCCGAGCGCCGTTCTTACAGCTTAACATGCACAACCAGCAAGAAAGATGAGGAGAGCTAAGAGAGTATCATTAAGATTGCCTAGAACAATGACAAAGATGAGAAGATGCAGAGTAGACTCTGAATGACCTCAGGCCATGATCACCAGAGATCTTGAGCATTACTCCAGGCCAAGGATAAGAGTAAACTCTTATCAATACGAGAGAGGGCAAGAACAGGCAAGAGTGGGCAAAAGTAGCAAGTGGGAAGATGCAGAGTGAGGGCATGGTTTCCAATTCATACAAGTGTCAAACATCATGTTGCGTGGCCATATAGCGCCCGTTTCAGACCTAGAGCTTTGACTCGATTGGGCAGGCAGTTCCTGGCTTTCAGGCCTCCAGCAGCAGACTATATGTTGCCATTGCCCCTGGCTGAGCTTTGCTTCCACCTTCTCAACCCCCACCTACTATGTGCACTCAGAACACAGCAAAAGAGCTGGGCAAAAAGTTACGCCTAAGTGATTAGTCAACTTGGCTTACGTAGTTCTAGCTGCAAATTTCTGAGATCTGCAGCTGGAACTATGTAAACTAACTTGACTAAGTAAATGTTAGCAAGCGGTGCATCACCAGTGCATCAACCCAATAGCACTCTGGTCTGGCAGTATCTGATCACTCTAACACACAGCTATTCACTCCCATCACCTTCTCATGCCTCCTTCCTCTGCCTTTAACTCACCACCTATCTGCCACAGAGTCTACTCGGTGGCTGGCTTCTACTTATCTTTCACCCTGTCTTTTTAGCAGCTCTGGATCACCTTTGACAACCTTCTACAAGAACGGCATCTGGAAAAGCTCACAAAGTTAATTACTACTAAATAGTACTAATCAACACTAATTAATATAATAACATTAATTAACTGACCCCCTCTATTATGCTTACATTTCCAATAGTAAATTAACACTAATGTAATAATTCATTCATGAACTGTTCATTAGCTATTTATTTGATATTCATCAACTGTTATTTGATGTTAATGAGCTGTTATTTCTTGTTAATAGGCTGTTATTTCAGTATTCTTAGCTTCAAAATCAATGTACCAAACTCAAATTTAATTCTATACAGATTTCATATGCTACACAACATATTGATAGCTCTGTACAAGCATAATATTTAGGAAAAAAGAAAGAAAAAAGAATGGCCCCAATGAAAATTGAACCCCAGTGTTACTACTTTCAAGCTATTTATTGAAACATGCACATTTTAACCACTGAGCCATAAAGTTCACATAAACTATACACTTCAAGATTTCTATATACACTCAGCTAACAACTTACAAATAA